ATTCTGAGATTAAAGTCAGAATTCTGAGATTAAAGTCAGAATTCTAAACTAAAAGAAAATGTAAAAAATCAGTTAACTTCTTTTTTTTTTTCAGTGGCCCTAATCCTCTTCCGTAGTTTTCTCTTAGAGGCTCCATCGGATCCTTTTCTTAGATATTTTGACTCTTTGAATCTTCTTGACCCTGAGGATACTTTAATGTCTAACATGATCTCTACTTATCTACATTTACATTCATGTCTACCCTTTTTGATCTGTTTTTCTCTTTATACTTTTTTTTTTCATTTGTTTATTTTTTTTGGCCTGTAGGTGGGGTGGGCGGTCAGGGTGGATTGGGCGTTGACAGAACTGTGACATTGAGATTGTATTGACACCTTGAATTTGTCCCAATAATGTGTCTTATGTTCAGAATGTTCAATAAACAAAGTAAAAAATAAATAAATAAAAAAAAGCGATCCCAGTTATCTCTGTTAGAAAAACCAACAGAAAATATTTGAGCAGAAGCTGCACATCTGCTGGATGCTGACTCTTTTTAATATGTCATTAAATTAATCGTTCATTTCTGCATGTTTTGCTCTCCGTGAACTCAGAGGAAGTCGGCGCGGAGCAGGACGGGGACGCAGGATGTGGGATTTCTGGGTCGGTGACATTTTATCAGTCTGTTTGATGTTGACCTGCTGCAGGTTCTAGTTGGTCTAGTTCTATCGGGTCTGATGTGGATCATAAATAAAGGCGTCAATCATCTGCTGCTTTTTATACCAGATGTCGTTCAGGATGTATTTGATCTCCACGACGTCACAGAGACTAAATGACAGGTTTTCATTTTTAGGTTATTTATTCATTAGAGAAAAATAACAGAATCTCCTTAAATTCTGATGTTTCAGTGAATCAGCTGAATCTGATGGACCTCATGGTCCGATTCTGCCGGCAGCATTTAGCTCCCGTACCGCCGCCGGGCCTGATGAAGCAGCGGATCGGATGAAGCCAGGATCAACCGACCAGAACGGGTCCAACTCCGCTTTAGTGAAACGGGCCTCAGATGTTCATTAAGAAGGAAAACGGGTCAGAAAATAACTTTAAACTACAACCAGAACCTGTGAAAGAAAGAAGTCCGTTATGTTCTGGTTCAATGGTCTGAAACGGTCCGATAAAAGCCTCCAGGGGGGGGGAGCTGGTCAGAGAGCGGGGACCGTGGGCAATGACATCATCACTTCTTCTTGACGAACTTCTTGCGGGCGGCGTTGGGGTTGGCCCGCCTCCTGCCGGCGCCGCTCTGCCCGTCTCGGATCTGCAGGTTGGCGGCTCGGCTGTAGATGTCGTTCTGGCAGAACGGCGCCGTTCCGGCCAGGTAGTCCGGGTCGAACACGTCGGTCTTCTGCCGGGCCTTCCTGGAGAGCCGCTGCTGGGGGAAGCGCTGGTCCTCCACCAGGTGGGGGTTGTTGGCGTGCTTCCCGCCCTGCGGCAGCGGCAGGGAGTGCTGCAACACAGACAGGAAGCAGAACCCGGTTAGACGCGGTCCTCCTGGTTCTGATCCGGTTTTAGGGCTAAAACTGCAGACGGAACCGGTTGGTAAAAGGATGATTCTTCAGAACCAGATCTGCTGCAGGTCCGATCCCTCAGAGGTCCAGTTGGGACCCACAGAACTTTGTGGATCCTGGCTGGAGCGACCCGGCATCTCTGGTTCTGGTACCAATAATCAGTCTAGGATCTTTTCTGGAAGCAGAACTTCTGCAAAACCTCCTAAACATCTGGTCTCTCTTTGAGTCCAACAGAACAAAATGGAGGCAGAACCAGGAAGTGGACGGACCTCCTGCCGGGTGTTTTTATGCCCTCTGATGGAGACACATCAGAAACATGACGACGTCTGTAACGGACCTCAGAACCAGAACCAGAACCAGGCCTCCATGGAGGAGAACCGGAAAAGCTGGAGAACTCCAGACCCAGAATGTTGGGACCGTGAAGCCAAAAGAGAACCTTCAGTCAGCAGAACCGACGGAACCGCGGACCGGTTCTGCTGCAGAAGCGACCGAACCAAAGACCGGTTCTGCTGCAGAACCGACCGAACCACAGACCGGTTCTCCTGCAGAACCCACCGAACCGCGGACCGGTTCTGCTGCAGAACAGACCAAACCGCGGACCGGTTCTGCTGCAGAACAGACCGAACCGCGGACCGGTTCTGCTGCAGAACAGACCGAACCGCGGACCGGTTCTGCTGCAGAACAGACCGAACCGCGGACCGGTTCTGCTGCAGAACAGACCGAACCGCGGACCGGTTCT